AAATTGATGGATTAATTGTTGCTTGTGAGGTTAATTGGTTGAATGGGGGCTGGGTAGTCCGAAAATTTGCTGGGAATAAGGGGGGGGGGTTAATTTCCGGTAGCCTTGCAATGAGTTTTGAGTCAATTTATGTAGAAAATCCTTAATTTGGCTGTTGTATGTGTGTCCGAGAGAAAAAGAGGAAATTCCCGAGACTTGCCCATTTTTTTTGTCAAGGCTGGTTCTCCCAAATTCTTGTCCATGAGTTTGAAAATTGTATATGTGTAATCTTGAAATTGAATATACATGGATAAATACCCAATCCCAGTGAATGCCCAATTTTTGGATAGGAAATAAATAAAGAAATAAAATTTTCTTATAGATATTAATTTGGGAATATTGTGATTAGGTCCTTGATTGCCCCGTGATCCTAGCACTTGGAGTAAGCCTTTTGTCTGCGTGATTAAGGTAAGTAAATTATGGTAAAACCCGTAAATTTTTGAAGCATATTTTAATTGTTTTCTGAGATGGTGGCGAGGTTTAAATGGATTTATTTGCATTTGAGCATGATTAAAAAGGGAATTTGAACTTGTATTATTTTCCTTCTTTTCTAGAATTGAACATGCCCACATGAGATTTTTCAGTTTATTTTTTGAAAGTGAGAACGAGTGTGAACCGTGATTTCGGTAAATCTTGCTTGGTTTTGTCTCCGATATGGTCGTGTAATCGTGACCCCGCTAGTGGGGGAGGTTACAAACGCTAGCACATGTCGACATGTTCATGATAGAACCAGTTCGCTCGTGGCCCTACTAGTGGGGATTATACACTAGTACTCGTGTGCCTGCCAGTGGGAACTGGCCATGACTAATAGAGGAGACCACTACATGATTTTATTTTGCATTAATGATTTGTTATTGAAACGCTTTGTTCTTGAAACGCTTTGTTCTTGAAATGCTCTGTTCATGTTTCAACCGATTATTTGGCATGCTTTAAACTTTGATGTCGGGCCCCCATGTTTACTTACTGAGATATTTCTATCTCACGGTTTCCTTGTCCACCATTTCAGGTAGTGAGACCTGACGCGTGGGAAGCCTGGGGGAGTGACGAGCTAGACGGCTAGGCACTTTTGGACTTAGGTTTTTGTAGCTAAGCCGTTAGTCACCCATGCTTGACTTAGAAATTTTTATGTACAGAACTCCCTTAGTTATAGTCACGACTGTGTAAATGAAGTTATAAATCCTTGTACACTTTGACAAGTAAATAGTTGGAAAGGAAGAGAAATTAGATATTACCTGAGTTCTAAATCTGAGTTAGTGATATGAACTTAGTAAGTTCCGAGCCTTGTGCATTTGTGGGACCCCCTCACAAGTGCACGGCGTCTGCCACGTCCTCGGATTTGGGTTTTGGGGCGTGACAGGAGCAGTGGAGGTTGAAGGTTAGAGTTATTAGATTTTGAAAAAAAGAAATTTCCAATAGCCATGTTTGGCAAAAAATGTTGAGATGGTTTTTTTGAATGAATATATAATGGTTTATAATATTTCTTTCTTCAAATTGAGGTAATGGTTTAATCTGACTATAAATATCTAATTTTGTTCCAGTATATGTGAGAAAATTGTCTATTAATTCTTTTTAGTTTACTAATTTTTTTTTTTAATTTTTAAACTTTTACAACTAAATTATTATATTTTTAATTTTTAAAAATTGATCACGTAAATATTATATTTTCATTTTAATGAAGAGCTAATGGATTTATTTAGTTTAGGAACTAAAATCTTCTAATCTTTAGGTTTAAGGACTAAAAATTTTATAATACAAAATAAGGAATTAAAACTTTCAAATGTAATAAGATAAGACGCTAAACACATAATTTAGCCTATTAAGGTTTATCTATTCTTAGCATCCTAAAAGAAATTTCTTAAATTTAACTTGTTTTTATAATTTGCAATGTTTTTGGGCCTGACTCAATGGTTGACCCGTTTTGACCATCGTGTCTAGTTTAATTGATTGAACCTGTAATATCCCAAATTTTCGGGAATATTTAAGTGTAAGTTAAGGACTTGATTGTGAGAAAAGATTGTTTTGGGGCTTAATGTGAATATTCTGAAAGTTGAGGGACTTAAAGAGGGAAAGATTTTGGATAAGGATGACTTCTTTTCTTTTTCTTTTTCTTTCTTTCTTTTCTTCCCAGCCTTGCCTGATTCTGCTCTTCTTTTTCTTTCTTCCCGCTGCAGCCACTCGAAAGAAAAAGAAAGGGAACCCGACAGCCATGCTTGAGGAAATCGGTAGAGAGCTTGATTTTTCCCTTCTTTTCTTGTCCAAGAACCTGATTTGGAACCCAGAAATCTCTCCCCCTGCAAGAAGCTTCCGGATCTGCGCTGTCCTTCCTCCCATGTCCGCCGGCTGCTCTTGCTTGTGGGGTGTGATTTGCTCCGGTTTTGGGTAAGAAACAGCTACCAATCCCTCTGTTCTTGCTTGAATTAACTTGGGTTAACTTTGATTGCTCTTATCTCCTTTAATTTTGGGTAGATCCGTGAGTTTCTCCCCTGCACTTGCCGCCGGCCTCCTCCCCAATCTGCACCCCGATTCTGCAGCTTGTAAATTCTGGTATGTGACAGCCTTTTAAGGCTTAAATTATCCATTTAAAGTTGCTGCTTGTGATGTCTGAATTTGGCTAGAAAATGGGGATGAAATTGATAGTAATTAGACCATGATTTAGCTTGATTCAAGTGGAATTTATATGATTGAGTGTTAATGGACTGCTACGTGATTTTTGGAGAGAAAACCCCGTGAGATTAGCTAGTGTTTTGGCCAATTTGTGGAAGTTGGAATTACTGTTCACGTTGGGGTACTGTTCACCGACACTGTTTACACCCCGAGGGCCAACAATTAACGGGGATTTAAGTGATTAGTTTGTGATATAAGAACGAATTTGGAGATATTTGATTATGTGGAGATTGATAGGAATTAGTATCGTGATTAAGGAGTCTTAATGATGATTTCAGTTTGAATGTGTGATAGTCCGGTATTAATTCTTGAAATATTTTGATTAGGTTCCCGATCGTTCTGTCAGTTAGCACTGAGATTGAGTGTTTGGTTTTATGCGAGTGAGGTAAGTAAATTTATGGTAATGCCCGTACTGTTTTAAAAGCATGTTTTGATTTGTTTTTGAAGTGGTGGCGGGACTAAACCCGTTTTACACGAG